AGCAGCAGGCAAACGGTTTAAGATAGTAATAATATATAGATTAACTTTTATTAAATAAACACATAGTAACAAACTTGCCTGTAAGAATTACTCTAGAGGTGAAGTATTACTTTTACAAGTTAGGAGTAAAGATAGAAAGGTCTAGATTGAAGTATAGAAACTTAGAATTAGCAAGAAAGGGTAAAAGCTACTTTTTATATATCTTTTTACCTAGTGAGGATAGTAGAGATTCAAGCAATATTACTTAATACTGTACTCAGGGTAATGGGGGTTTGAACAATATTAGATATCATTGTACTTAGGATAGTGGAGGTTTAAACAACATTAAATAATACTGTGCTTGGGGTAGTGGGGACTGTACAGAGGCAACTGGAGATATTGTTTATATGATTTGTCATTTGTGCTTAAACACTTGGGACTTGTATTTAGGCACTTGGATCCATGCAAAGGCACTTGAGATTTGTGCAAGAATACCTGAAGTTCATACAGGGACACTTGAGGTTTATGTCAAAGATACTTAGAATTCTTGTTAAAGATACTTGAGATTCTTGTGCTGCGGCACTTGGCATAGTAATTTGGTGCTAAAATATATAAAACTTGTACAGAAGTACTTAGGATTTGTAAGATGATAGTAATATCACAGATGTTACTCAGTGTCATATGGCTGTACCACATTTCTATAGCCAATTAAGATCCTTTTATCTATCTACTATATAATATAACTATAGACTGACTAATAACTAATAACTAATAATAAATATAATATAAAATACAGTCATTTCTCCATATAATCATACAGTTGGGCACATCCTTATAGAGTAATTAAAAGAGGTGTGATTTTATAAAAATTACCTCTATATAAGTACAGATTATAATTAAAATAAAAAATATGATTTAATAGAGGTAAAATTAAATTGTATAAAATTTGCTTTTAGTACAATTTGCTTAGAAATTTGATCCAGTATAAATTTAAGCTTCAGATTACCTACTTGCATATAAAAATCTTATCTGGATACAAAATTATTATTAAAAATATTATTATCTGGTTAGCATTTAGATTAGTTGCTTTGAAGATGCAAAGTTATTTGTTAATACAGTCTATCTCATTATAACATAATGATCATGTTAAGAAATTCTATCTACTATAATAAACATTTACTATAATGTTATATAGCATAATAATAAAAATTTTAAATTGTTCTAGGAAATTACTTTATTATAACGAGGTATCTGCTATAACAGAGTCTGTTATAATGAAGATAGACTGTATACAATTTTGTAAAAGTTCAATTTTTGTTTAATTGTTATTAAAAGGTTTAGTTATTTAAAAAATATTGTATTTCTGGTGCAATCACAATTATGAAAAACTTGATTGAAACGAATCAGCCAGGTTTCCCATTTGCTACTGCTATAACATCTAACATCTAATGACCTGAACTTTCATTTCAAGTTGAAGTGAAAGTTATAAGACATATAAGAAATAATATTTTTGCTAACAGAATGACTTTTTAGAATTATAATTTATATAGTTTCAAAAGACTATTTTAGTAAGAATTACAAACAATAAATACTGCAGTTGTATCATACCCAAACTTTGGAAGATCTGCCTTGCTTAATTCTTTCTGGAATTATAGTTAATTTATTGTTTTTTCAAAGAAAACATAGTATTGCAATTCATAAATATGAAACATACCAAATACAAATAAAATATAAATAATAAGTGCTAGCAGTCAAGATTTAAATACACCAACTGCAATAGAAAGTACTAGTTTATGAAAATAAGCTATATACTGATTGTTATTATACATAATTCCAGAAAGTTAATAGCAGAAATTAAGATATTAAGTGGTTATAGCAGTTTTTAAAACCAGAATAACTATATATTTGACTCAAAAGAAGCATGTATATATGTACATACATATGTATATACCTGCATAATTATAGGATAAAAGCTAAATATATATTTTAAATTTATCTATACTTAGAGTGTTCTCAAGCACTTCAATTAATAGATCAGAAGCAAAATTTTAATTAGTCTGAAATTGAATAAACCAAACAAGCAAGTTACTATTTTGATAAATAAAACTAGAGGTATAGACTATTTTTTTTTCATAGAGTTGCTCTGATTGGCTAAAATTTAGAATCTGCATTTCGCACAATGAATTTTTAATATGTTGTTTTTTGATTAACCACATTAACCACTCAATTAATTATAATAGTTTAAGCAACATCTTAATCTCACATTAAGGAAGCTGCTTGAGAACACCCTTAAATTTGCTTTGTATTAATAGTGCTTATTATTTATTTATTTTTTAAATTCATAAGGTTCTAATTTCTATCTATCTCTTTTGACTTGAGTGCTCTTAAGCACCTAAATTAATAGGTCAATACTCAGTTTTTAATTAGTGGAAAATATTTTGACTGCCTATTATTGCAATAAAAAAAAAAGATAACTGAACCTATCTTTTTTATTAGAGTTTACATTATGAATCTTCAGCAAAATTGTCATAGTGCTAGTGCATAATCTCGATCACTAGCCAATTACATTAGAGAAGATGCTTGAGAATACTCTTAATCATAGGTTCTGAATTACATCAAATTAACTTCAATGATAGAGTTTTTCAAATTTGTAACAGTTAAGATAATTGATTATAAAAGAAAAACTAAACTTAAATGAGTTTTTTAATATATACAGGCAAGATATTTAGTATAACTTTTGTATTTCTTTTAGTGCAAATATCATGATACAATGAACTTGCTAAAAGTAGTCAAATTGCAAAAAAAAAGATTTGCCCTAAATATTTTATTATGAACTATATAATGATAACTTACATTTAATTATCATGTAAATAGTTATAACCTTTCTCACTAATACTAATAAGATCACTGAAATATAAATGAAAAACTAAAAAATAAAAATAAAAATAAAAAAAGAAAAAAATTATATGTTACAATATAATATTATTATTTAAGAGTATAAAAAAATTATCAATAGATGTTTGGCATTTAGATTCATTATATTTTTGCTTCACTAAAGTTAAATATTTCTGAAATATTTTAAGATTCTTGGCTTTGAAATCTGTATCAGTTTGTTGTTCAAAAAAACAAATAAACTTATTTAAATTTATTAAACCTTCTGATACTGGAATTTCTAGTTCTTCTTCATCTGAATCATCTAGATCTTCATTTTCATATTGATTTTCTTCATCTAAAACTATTTCAACAATTTCAGAATCTTTAAGTTTATCTTCAGTTATAATACATAAATTATTGAGATCTAAATATTCATTCAATTGATTTTTTATTTCTGAACTCAGGTTTTGAAATGTCAAATCTATTACCAACACATTGACATCATTATCTTGTTGCTCCAACAATATATCTTGACTATTAATAGTGACTTCAATTTCTTCACATGAAACTGATGACAAAATTCCAGTTTTATTCCAACAATTAATGATCATTTGATTTTTAACAACATCCCAAGACTTAGATATATAGTAGATAGCATCTTTTATATTTATCTTTTTTCTAATTGAAATTAAAAGTAATTAGTAATTTAAAAAAAAAGCAATAATAATAATAATTTTATTTTCACCAAGATTAAAGTTACTCGATAAGCTATAAAATTTTTTCATATAGTTAAATTAATAGTATATATTAGAAGTGCAATCTAAATTTATTTTTTATTGTAAAAATCAGTTCAAACTAATTTTTATATATAAAAAATAAATTCAGATCACATCTCTAATATATATTAGCAATGTGCTAGATGACTTTAACCCAGGCTAATTAAAAAAAACTTATTGTATAATTAAGATGTAAGTTTTTACTTTGTTAAATCCTTGTTATTCTCAAATTGTATTAGTATATATCAGATATATTTTTGCTTATATTTGGACTTGAAACTTTTAATGATGTCCACATTTATTGGCTAAAGATAGGCAGTAGTGTTTGGTAGTAAAAATTCAAGTTTAATATTAGTTAATTTTACATTTGAATAATCAGATATAGTATGCAGATGACCATAACTGCTACTATAATGCCCTTACTACTACCAATATCACAACTATGATCACGATTACTATGACTATTACTTTCACTCTAATTGGTTCTAGTTAGTCTTAGTCAATCTCGCCCTCAGTAATTTTTACATGAAACAGTTGGCATTTCAAATGCTAGATTATTATCAGATATTTCATCTGAATCAGAATTTGATTTATCTGACTTATATAAGTTATTAATATTGGATTGATTATGAAAATGTGAAGTAGCATTATTTACTAATAATAAAACTTGACAATTTTAAATTCAAAATATCTAATTTAAATCTTTTAACTATTCAGAAAATATGTTATTTCGCATCTAAGCTTGAGAATTTGCATGATAGACAACAGGTAAATAATTATAATTAATACAAAAAAGTGCACAGGAAAGATCGAAGACCCAATTACTAATGGCTTTAATTTTTCACTTCTAGTTGCATTACATGCTAGCATAACTGTAACCTGTGAACAATTCTAATTAACATTTAAGGTTAGTTTTTAAAAATAATAATTAAGATTATAAAAAATTAATTAATTGGTTGTTATAACTTAGCTGAATTAAAATTTGAAAGATTTTTTATATGTTTTAATATTGAGTTGATTTTTTAAAAACTTTCATAAAATTTGTATAGTGCAAATTATCCAAGAATATCTAAAACTGTAATTCAATGAATATTTAGAAATTTGCAAAAATAAAAATGTAACTTTACAGTTTTAAACAAGGCCTACAAAGTTATGCTTTTTTTTAAAAAAATTTCATTATTCTTTAGGAAAATACAATTCAAAAAAAAAAGAATTTTCAAAAGCTAATAAATTTAATTACTTAGTAGTTGAGTAACACAAATTTTAATGCAACTACATACATACATAGATGATTTGTATTATACATATAATTTAATATTATGTTATAAAAACCAAGAAACTAACTTTATAATTAACTTTAATTATAATTTAGTATAATATTTAGCTAACCTTTTTAAACCCAGGTCTTGATCGTGATGCAAGTATTTGATCTGATGTCATATAGAAGAAGAGCTCTGTTTCATCTGTATTAAACACATTATCTAACATATATTTTTCAATCAATTCATGTAATTTTTGTCTATATTCTGGAAGTGAAGATAATGGTGCACTATTTGCTTCTTCATGTAATCTAAAATTTCTAAGATTATTACATTGTTTGAATTTTTGAATCCAACTGTTTAAAAATTTTAAAGCATCATCGCCCAAATTCAAGGCTTTTGCAAAATAGATTGCTTTTTCTTTAATCATTAATTCTGTTAGAATTATTTCTCTGTTAGTAATTGTTTAACCTATAGCCTCATAAATTGATCTAATTTAGGATATTTTACTTGTTTATATTAAAAAATTATAGAACTTAATTAATCTTTCATAATAGCTAACCATTTTGATTTATCTTTTAAATTTTAGAAATCATAGAACAATCTAAATTTAAGTTAGGATCTTAAGAATTGAAGTGTTTTGCAATATCTGTTTGTATTTTATTAGGATTATTTTTATTATATTTATATATTTCTCACTTTAAATATTCACTAATGGCTGTTCTTGATCTTTTTTGTAATAAATTTTTAGACATTTTGTAAAACACAATAGATACTTAAAATTTTATTTTTTACTTTATTAAATAGTTATTTTTTTTTATATTTATAGTACAATAACATAAGATCTAATCTACTAATATTTGGGTGCAAAACTAGAACTAGCGACTTAAACATTTACTTGCTGGTGTAATATTGTTTTAAAGAATAACAATTATTTTATCGATGCTTAATTTAAAAATTATATTCACTAACAAGCTTTAATTTTATTTAGTAAACTCTTATTATCAATGCAGGAACAATTTGAATTTCGAATTCATACAATACGAGAATAATTAAGATTTAATAGGTCTGAATCGATCTCTTGTCTACTAAATTTGGTATTTAGCCTTTTCAAGTTGCAATAACATCAAAATCTCTGAATGGAAACTTGTATGAATTTTGGAATCCAAATCTGTGGTTCCAGATAATTTACATTTTACAGTACTGCTTGAAAATTATTTATCCAGTATGTAATTATATTGTAATTTCCTGATCGAACCCTTTTGTGCATATTATAATTGTGAAGCATATTTATAAACCTTATAAACCTGTTTATAATGAAAAGATCCTAACTCTTATAATGTTACATTGCAGAAACCATGTGAATTACATTTGAGTCCTCTTACTATTATTATTTATTGATTCAATTTATAGATAATCAGTATTTTAATAATAAAGAAGAACTAAATGATAAAAAAGTGCAGATGTCGAATAATATTTATGATGTTAGTACTAAGTAATATATAAAGTGATGAATAGTGACACTTCATAAAACAGATCTTTATCTCAATTACAATATATGCTATTTTTTGTAGGCTTGAAATGATAATATCACTATTCGTCAGAGAAAAGAATAAAATAATCATAGATATACGCCAATATCATAATATTCAACAGATCACTAAAGTTATTTGATTACAGCAATAAATTAGCATTAGCTGTTTACCCACTAAATAAAATATGATGAGATATTGAAAAGTAAGAAATCACGTGATCATGAATACCAGAAATAGAATAGAGAGATAAATTCATAAGAACTTGGTGAAATATGAATACCAGGAAGAAAGTGAAAAAATTACAAGTACGAAAAGTAAAATAGTAAAAAATCTAAAATAAGATAGGTAGTATGAACTATTATCTATAGCACTAAAAATCCTAACCTGAAATCTTTTGAAGAACAATTATTAAATTTCTAGATTAGAACTTAAACAAGCATTATAATACCAGCCAAATATATCTACACAAAATAAATGTACAATCCTTCTATCTAACAAATAGAATACATCAGTAAAATGTCAGCTGATTATGAATCTAGTAAATTCTAAACTGAATTTTAAAGAATATACTGGTAATGTTATGCTATGTAAGTTATAATCTTATATTATATATAATTTTACTTAAGCTTCTTTACGTTATACTGATTAGGTAAAAAGTAATATCTTTTTAATTGCTAATTAATTTTGATTATTATTCTAACATTATATTAGCATTACGTAGATATAATAAATAACTACAAAATTCAATATTAGTGAAGATAATAAAAAAGATCACTGTTTAGTTACTTTTACCCACCTAGTATATAAAATACAGTTTTATAAATGTTCAACTAGCATTATTGCATTACTCGATTTGAATATATAATCTACATCATGACTTCTCAATCATCAAGAATTTTGGTCTCTGAAACTATAAAAAATCAAAACTCAGTTTTGCAAAATTTAGATAAAATTTAGCACAGAACACGTTTATCAATAAAAAAATTAAGATATACAAAAAGGCTCATCATCACAAGATTAACTAAATAATCACTAATTTAAAATTTTAATTAAATTCAGATCAATTTGAACAAAATAAGCATGATTATTTTCAAATTATATTTCCAAATCCAAACTTTTTTTACTACAAAGGCATTATGCATTCAAAATTGAAATTATATAATGATAACTGCAAATTTATATAATTATGTAAAATGCCAGTAATTTTATAGCTTTACATGCTAGAAGTATAGATGCAGAAACTTGAGAACATATGGTTATATCAAAAAAGATCAAAAGTGTCATAACTGCATATATCATAATAGCTGAAATGACTCTCTAAGGCTATGTAAATTTTGTGAACAAAAATTAAATTTGCTGATCATCTAGTTATCTGATTTGAATAATTTTTTTTTATTTTGTAGAGCTTATTTAGCTTCACAAAACAAAAAAAAGTTCATTCAAATTGGATAACTAGATGACTAGCAATTTTAATTTTTATTCACAAAATCAAAATAGCCTTAGAGGGTTATTTTTCTAGCAAAAATCCTAAGTTTTTGGCCATAACTTGAATAATAGATATGATAATTTAGCTTTGATAAATGCAATTAAATTTTCTTGAAAAATAAAATAATTAATTTTTTTTTTAAAAAAAACTAACAAATTAAAAGTTGTAAATAAATTGCCAATATGTTTTTAATTGACAAAGTGGATTTTAGTAATTCTATGTTGATACTGTTTTAAGCATTAAATTAGAAATTAAACAATTACTGTATTTAACACAATAAAAGCAGCTTTATTATAATTGTTCACATTAAAACAAATTCAAAGTTTATTTACTTTCACAAGAACATATGTTTAATTATTCTATATTACTAATGGCGTATATTGTCTATTTGTTTTTAGACTTTAACTGACTAGTTATTAAACACATTATCTATAGGTGCTATGAATCAAAACGAGTGCAAATTGCTAGTAATCTTTATTTTCAACGTACATCTTAAATGAAAAGTTTTTTTTTCAAGGATAATAAATTATTTAATAAAGAACAATTTATAAATCA